AAAAAACCGATTTTTTCAAAACTGTGGAATGGTATTTTCACTGAACCTACTTGCTATAAGATTATTATTATTAATCTTAACTTATATTAATAAAGTAAGCAGTAATGGAAAAATAATAACCAAATCCCTTTTTTTATTGTACATACATGACGAGGTATTTATATACATATGTACTATCTAAGTATGTATTCATTTGAAGTAGTCTTTAGCCGACCATGCATATTATGTATTCTGTATATTATAAAACAAATACATACATATGTAAGTAATATTAATACAATGATTCCAAATATTCTCACTTGGTTTCACTGCTGGGGCTGCCACTGCTGCTGCTACTCTCCTCAACCTCGACAAGTGTAGCTGGCCTATGTCTTATAACGAACCTAATTTAAAAGTTTTTTGGAAATACATATTGTCCAAAATAAAACCAAAATTGTGTATTTTTTGCTCACTTATCCATAGAATTGAGCCCGTATAAATTAACTTGAAACACCAATTTTGAGCGGAATTCTAATAATTTTTCGCTGCTTTTTAATGACTCTCGTATTATTCAAATGTCATTTCAGGTACATACTATATAGGTGTGTGCAAAGAATATAGAAATGGTGTAACTGCGGGGCCGTTTCCAAAAATTTGGCGATTAATTAAACCGCGATTTATTAAAGACAGGAACCGATAATAGTTGCACCCTCGAACTTTTACATGTTCTTTTGCATATGTAAACACATGATTATTATCAGAATAAGTCGAATCTTGAGTTGCCATTTTATAGTAATAACTAGGGCATGGAAATCTATGCAAATACATGTTTTTTTTGGACTTAGGTAAAGCGAAATAGATAAAGTACCTCTGCGAATCGTGAAATTATCTTAAAAATGGCATTCAAATGCTTTTGCATATTTTAGTCATAAATGCATATTTTTGCATATTTCACATTTCTTGCATTTTTTTAGTACATATTTGGCATTATATTGCCTCTTGACGGAAAACTTTACAAATCTGCAGATCTGTGCATATTTTCTCTAGTTGGTAGTTTTACGGATTTTGTAAATTTGTTAGTTGGCAGTTTTACACAAACAAAATACACGTAAACCTCATCTGACGCAGTACGGAGGTTAGTGTGAACACGGCTATCATTTATTTTCGATGTAGTGCGACATCTATTGGCAAACATAAAAGTGTTGATTTTTCATGTTTCCGGACCACTCTGTAAACCATTAGAAGGCAATTTTTAGTAACAATTTACCTCCAGGGAAAATTTTGAAAGGCAACGCTTGTTAAAAATGTAAGTTCCATTTAGACGTTTTTAATTATTTGAATAATTTCTTAAAATCGTACATCATTTTAGTTGACCATGCCAAAATCAAAGAGGACTGAAGCAGAAAAATTACGAATATTTTTGAATGAGCATCAGGATGTCTTCAAGACAGATGGCAGAGTTCTTTTCTGCAAAGCATGCAACAAAGCAATAAGTCATACAACAAAATTTCTGGTAGAACAACATTTAAGAAGCCAGAAACACATAGATATGCATAGCCGAAGCGTTGAAAAGTCGTCGCAGTCAATGCTGCCCATTTCCGCAGCGCTTTCGCCAAATAACTTTTGCATGGATTTATGCGAAGCCTTTATTGCTGCCGATATACCTCTAGGAAAGCTAAACAACCCACATCTAAACACTTTTTTAAAGAAATACACAAGCGAAAGGATTCCCTCGGAGTCAGCGTTGAGAAAGACTTACATAGATAAATTATACGCTAAACAGTTAGAACGAATAAAATCTGCGTTGAAAGGAAATTTTTTGTGGGTGTCAGTAGATGAAACAACTGATATCCAGGGTAGGTTCGTCGCGAATGTTATTGTTGGGGTTCTGCATCAAGATCCGCAATTAAGCGAGAAAAAATTTTTGCTTAATGTTGCAGAACTGGAGAGAACCAATTACGCTTCTATTGCTCGTACCTTTAATGATTCGTTGAAATTACTGGGAGACGATTTCGAAAAGAATAAAATACGGCTTTTTTTATCTGACGCTGCTCCTTACATGGTTAAGGCAGCAAAAAGTTTAAACATATTTTACCCAAAGCTTTTGCATGTTACATGTTTGGCTCACGCAATCCATCGGGTTGCAGAAGAGATACGAAGTAACTTTAAAGACATTGACTTGCTAGTGTGTAGCGGCAAAAGATAAAATTTCCTGATGTACCTCTTCCGCCAGAACCCATTATTACCAGATGGGGAACATGGCTGGACGCAACTGGATATTACGTAAAGTATTTTGAAGAGTTTTCAGAAGTGGTCAACGAATTCGACGCCAGAGAGTCGCTTTCGATTAAGATAGTTCAAGAAACTCTACAGTCAAGCTCAATTAAATCTCAGTTGCTTTTTATTCATTCAAATTACGGATTTTTAAGCGAAACCATTACAAAGTTGGAAAGAAAGAATTCACTTAAAACACAAATAAGTTTGATAATCGATGCACAGAAGAAGATTAATGCTATAGAAGGTAATATCGCACAGTTAATTAAAAATAAATTAGAATTTGTTTTTGGAGAAAAATCAAGGATTTAAACAAATAAAGGAGATTGCGACCTTTTTTGATTTGAATAATGAAAAAAGTGATTTACAAAATGAATATACTCCAAGCGAACTGGTCGCTTTTAAGCATGCTCCAATTACTTCTCTGGATGTAGAACGTTCGTTTTCTATGTATAAGAGCTTTTTACGACCGAACATGGAAAGTTTTCTTTTTGAGAATATGAAAAAATATTTCATTGTGTACACTAATGAGTCGCTAACTAAAGATTAAGTTAAATTATGTGATGTAGTATTTTAAGACTGCGTTTTACTATACATATATACACCCGTTTATTGCAATGTACGTATTTGCTAAAAGCAAAATTGAATTAAAAATTTTTCGTACCTAATTTTATTTAGCTTTAAAAACTTCAATAAACGTATGAGTTAACTGAAGGCTTACATAATGTTTTTAGTGCATTTTTTGAATTTATAAGGCATTTTTTTGATTCTTCATGCATATTTTTCATACATATTTTTCAGTTTTTGTTGCATTTTTTAAGCACATATTTCTTATTTTATAGTGCATGAAAACTTTAGTTAAATAACCATATTGAGCAGAATAAATGTATTTGTTTATACTATTTTTCAAAGATTTAATTATTGTATGTATACAAAAATAAGAAACTACAGAAAATGTTAAAAATAACCAAAATGGGAAAGATCTTAACAACTTCACAGGCAAGAAACTTGTGTTTTTTCTGAATACCATATATCTTGTCCAACTTTTAATTTGTAGGGAAGAGACTATTGTTCTTTCTTGTAATCTTACTAATAATATATATATAATATTATAAATGTGAAAGTTTGTATGTTTGGATGTGTGGGAAATCATCACGCGGAAACGACTGAACTGATTTGCATGAAATTTTGTACGCAGATAGCCTATGGGCCAGATTGGTTAATAGGCTATTTTTGTAAGAGTTGCCACCTGTTAAAAAAGTTTAATTAAATTAATACGCGGAAACGACTGAACAGATTTTCACGAAATTTGGCACATAGATAGCTTATGACCCAAGAATGATAGAATACAAGATTGCGCCGATTGCAGCAGAATTCGTGAGAGTAATTTTAGCGTGACGTCGTCGTAGAGTTGACAACTGAAAGCGGCGAGAATGAGGGCGATTAGTGATGTGCTGAATTGTCCCCAATACTCGGTACCCAATACTTAAAAAAGATTTCGGTACCCTATACATCCTTTTCGGTATCCGATACCGATTTTTTACATTAAACCCTCGCCATTATATGCATTTCAGGTTTAGAAAAAACTTTCATTACTAATTTATATGATATCGGCTAAAACACTTGAACTTATCGCCACAGAAAAATATTATTTTATCAGTTTCAACCTTAGTCGGTCCAAGGTTCAAGAAAAATACTTTGACGGATGAAGAAGCTTTTCAGGGGAGAGATTCTGTAGCCAGTTAGCGACAAGTTTCGGATCGATATCGCACTTGTTGACTTACAAATATTTGATATCAAACGTCGACAAAACCGATACCGATTCGAAAATTGTCGTTAACTGGTTACAGAATCTGTCCCAGGCCTACAAAAATGATATCGTCCGATTCAGCTGGAACAAAAATGCTTCAAACAAGTAAGGGTTTCTCTGTATTATGGCATCGAACCGACATATATACATCTTTCATTTGAATCAGTAAAAAAGCTCTATTGGCTCTTACATTCGGGTTTTGTTAGGCGTTTTTTCCATATTTTTGGCCTATGTGCGCTTTTATTCGAAACCTAAATGTTTCGGTACCGAGAATCGAGAGTATTGGGTACTTAAAAGTATTGACTCAGCACATCACTGCTGCTGTCTGCTCTACTATGACGTCACCAAAACAGCTGATTCTGTCAAAATCACTGAGAGCCGAGTAGCGGTATCGTCATCGGCGCCACCTCTGTATTCTCTCCACCGTGCTTATGACCTACGTTGAAAAATTGGCTGCTAGTTTAGGAGTTGCCACCTATTAGAAAAGTTTAATTAAATTAATACGCGGAAATGACTGAACTGATTTGCATGAAAGTTTGCACACAGATAGCTTATGACCTAGATTGGAAAATAGGCTACTTTTTTAGGAATTGCCAGCTGTTTGAAAATGAAATTTTGCTCACAGATGGTTTATGACCTGGATTGAAAAATAGACTACTTCCTTAACTGGTTTCCCGATCAGAACGAAATTTGGTCAACTTACTACGGAATTCGCAAGGATGGTCTTAGACTGAAAGTGATTCCGATAACTCAAGGCCCCTCCCATACAAATTGGAATTTTCATATTATATACATATTAGAGATTTACGCCGACAGGCTTTGCGGCGGCGGCGTGGTTAACTTCAAAAATATGCGGCGGCAGCGGCGACGCCGGCGCGTCTGGAAACGCCGGCGCTACTGCTCATAAGGTAGATTTCAAAGAGCCACGAGGCTACTAATCTTATCATTTCAGCTCGTCAGCGTTAGGCATTCGCCATGCCAATTATTCTATTATTATAATTATATTTATTTCACTATTGAATTAGTTTTAAATTTAAATATTGTTACTTCCTACTTGAATTAAAATGTTGAGTGTCTGGCGCTGATTGATGGGCGAACAGAAGAAGGTCTGAGGTATATACATACATAATCACACGGATCTCTATGTTGTCTACAGATCCGTGTATGCTATTTAAATTTAAAGAAATAAAAAAATTTTAAAAGTTTAGTTATTGGGGTAATTTATGTCGCTCTCAATAAATTTTTGCAATAATCTTATCAACCGTTATGTTAAATTACGGAGTTCTTACGATTTTTTGCGGATTACATATTGAAAACAAGGTTGGTCTACTTTTTTTCCAAAAGTTTAACCCATCAACTCGAACCAGAACGGGCCTTTTTGACCCACTGTTGACAAAAATGGCTTATAGATGGTTAACATTTCCACCAAAATATGAAGCGCCAAATTTTTCTAAGGAGAACCGAATGTAATGAAAAATAATACTAATGTTTACCATAACCCTGTGTAGAAAACATTACGATGCGAGGGAGCAAACCCTTCCTGGGGTTTGACCACCACTAAGGAATGCTAACGTAATTTTCACACAGCCACCTAGTACTTGTATACGTATGTGGGACCCCAGAATAAAATAACTTACGAATGTAAATATTAGCAAAAAATTTCTTTGTTTAAAATATTAAAAAAAATACATAGAAAAATCAACTTGTCTTTATTTTATCTCCAATAATTGAGGAGTTAGATGCAAAGAGGCCGCTCCTATTAAAACTGCATTCTGAGATATTGGCGTTAAAGTTTTTGATGTGTTATAACTTTCTTGTTGTTGTAGTAGGTGTATAAAAAAGTAGTATTGTTGTAGTATTGAAAAGAATTGTCTACTGCGGAAAAAAATCGTTAGATTACCAGTATTCGACCCTAATTTAACTGTAATAAACGCTTTCGTCGAAAAATATGTTACCTATGTTTTTTCTGAGTTACGCTATTTTTGGAAAAATAAAGGAGATCATATTCTTGTCTAGTGGCCCAAATTGTGCAAAAAAAAAACTAATTTAAAAATGTAATTTTCATTTCGTGAAATTGTGTTTTTATACAAGTAGTATTTAGTTCCTTCAAACGATGTATTCAATGCACATACATCATGAAAATTTTGTACAAAATTCCGGCGGCGGCGCGTGAGGAATGACAAAAAACGGCGGCGGCGGCGGCGTGGCTCGGCGGCGTATACCTCTAATACATATCTCTGGAAGTATTTGTGGGAGAGAACTGGAACTTGGTATAGAGATATGTATGTGAAATCAATGTTGGCATTAATCGATTGATTTTTTAATCAATTAGTTAATTCGATTAAATTCAATCTGATTACAGTTAATCATGATTAATTTTAATCTGACTAAACAGTTAATTCAAAAAATTATGTTTTAATTATTAACTCTTAATTTGATCAAGTAGGTTTGGTGATTAATTAATTTATGCTGGAATTTTCCTGTGCACACAAAGCAAGTTAATCCGGTATGGCTTTCCTCATCAATTTGAGCAATTTGGTGTGCATTTTCATTAAGATCTATACCAACAAACATTTTACAAACTAGGTTTGTAAAAGTTCCCAGTTTATGTATTACTAATAACAATAATTATAATTGTTTTATATTATGTGCTTTTTATAAGCGTAAAACACAAAATAATAACTATAACTGGTGTTTGGTTTCAAATTCGGACAAACTAGACAACTTAATC